AGTTTTGATGCTCGGAATCTATCTCTGATAACGATTCATATGAGGCTTAATGATTCACCATCCTATGATTGATATTAATCAAAACTACTGGTTAAGCTCCCATGCAATAATCAACTGTGAGAACTCAAGATCGGGTCTTAAGGCTGTCAGATTTAGATTATCAAAGATAATCAAATGTTTACAACATAAAATTTTATCTTTAAAATACGTATGTACTTGATGTTCTATTCTCTGCAAGAACAATAAGTTGTACATTATTATTAATAAATTCCCCTTGGGGAAACTTTTCAACTAGTTGAAAAGGAAGGAAAGGGAGAGGAAGTCACTTTTACCGAAGGACGCTTTAATGCATCCTAGGCACACGCTTTTTTTCCCCATCCAACTATACCATTCAAGTTAGTGACGACCATCATATGCCTAGTTTAGTCTATATATTGGAACCACCCTCGTTGCACTTGTACGATAACTACAGACTTCACGGACTACAACACTTTTCTCTCTTGTGCAGTGTTTCCCCCCCGACCCTTGGCCTTTATAGTCTTCGAATCTCGTTTTACCGTCGAAATAGTTATCAGCGATATTAGAATAACTTTCCGTTCAAAATTTGTTATACTATTGAGCTCGCTCCATTATAATAATACAATCATAACGACGAGTGGTAATAGGCGAACTGGCCTCATCATAGCGTATTATTCCTTCAATCACAGTTATATGAATTAGGGTGATAGTATTAAATAAATGAGGCTAGGAAGCAAGTCTGTTTGTGTGGATGGAGTCATTTTGAATTCTCAAGAACCCTTACTCCTTATAGTGTCTACTTTGAATACCTCTAATTATCCTGTCTTTAATTTTTATAGCACTATGGGCCTAGAATATCGCCCATATTGTGAGAAAGCTTAGCCACGTAAGTCGTCTAAATACCAACAGTACCACTGGCTAGTTCAGTACTCCGTAGAAATGATATATTAGCAAGCAGTCCCCAAAAAAATAAAGGAGACAAAAAACGTAGTGGATTGAATAGCAGTCATAGTTCTAATATCAGTTTATATAAAAATCTTAAAAAATCATAATACAAAGGGCCACCCCCCATTTGCCTTAATCATAAAAAACTAAATCCATAACATATATCTAAGAAACGACAGATATAACAATTAAAAAAAAAATCAAAGTAATAAGCTTTTTACGTTTGATTTCATTCCACTGTGCACATAAAAATCGGCCTTCACCCCTCTGCTCTTAAGCAACGTTCCCATCCAGCAAACAAAGTGTTTACATCAAACCAGTGACGCTGAGATAAATGCTCGTATCTACCCTCTGCCCCTGAATGTTGCCAGTCGAAACACTCCTATGTCATGGTAGCATAACATTAGTACAGCCTACTTAAATGCCTCAACCCGGAAGAGACCTTTTGACGCAAAGCCGAAGGGTATGCGTACAATATAATAGGAGCTGTTTATGTAGTTACTCTGATAAAGCATATGTCCAAAATCTCAATAAAAAGCTGGGTGAGCAGGGTGGGGTTTAGACGAAGTTTGCCTTGCGAATATTAGGATTTTGCTGCTCCAGCGATACCTCCATAATTCAGATTGCCACAACGTTCAGCTTCTGTCCCGGATTGTGGTTGTGCCTCAGATTGTAAGTCATCCCCCTTGGAATTGCGGGCCAGCAAGATTAGTCATAGTGGAAAAGATAATAGTAGGGGGTGAATTATTCAGTTCTAATTGAACGATATGAGGGAGTCCTGGGCCACTAGTAAAGCTCCGTCTTTGCGCTCTACGTATCTGATCCTTCACCTTCACGGCCAGGGCAGAACGCTAGGCCGAAAGCCTGGACGTATTTCTCGATTAAATTATTTCATCGTCAATATTTGACCCGTAACAGCTTTGAGATCCCAAGGAGCGGTAATCTTCCTAATTCCCCCTCCCAGTGTGGTAAGTCTATTTGGGGCAACGGCTTTTAGACCAAACTTTCCTGTCCACTAGGTATTTTCGAGCTCTCTAGGGTGAAACCATATCTGAACGTCGAGATGTTCCGACAGGACTTCCATCTCATGTTCGTATCAATTGACTCCCTGCTTCTAGCCTACGCGAAGTGACTTTGGAGAATATATAGAATGATTCGTTCCTTGGAGTGCCTTGCGTAGCAGAGGTATGAGCTTGCTATCAATCATAGAAGGTAAATGCCCACTACCCACCTTTGGATCAGCAAGGGTATCTTCGATGACAGTGCGTCTTATACTCAAAAAATCCTGGGAATAAATCACTGAACCAGGATTTACGTACCTTGCCTCACAGCTCGTTTGGATACCACACAATGCAGAATCGATGATACGTTGGGAACCCCCCCATGCCGATAATTGTAAAACAGCTCCGCCAAGGAGGACTCACAAACTAATGTTGCCTAGAATAGATGATCCTGAGCTCAGCAGTGCTGACATAGATAATCATAAATAATCAGTTCGTATTTCGTTACAAAGTTTTGTTGTATATGAATAACTAACAGTGAAGGGTCTGGGTGCCTATAATACCTTTCAGTGAGTGTGCATTCCGGATTGGGTGATAGCCCGGATCGGGTAATGAAAAGCACGACTTCTATTTCTACGAGGTTTGTGCCAACCAGACTAGACTTCTATTGGTTGATGGCCGGATCGAGACATCGCTTCCAGTCCGAGGCAATAAAGTAATTTCCCAATTATAGCATCGTATGAAAAATCAGGTCTCAGTATGACATCTCAGGCAAGATGAGATATATACATAGTAGTTACTCTTTCAGAAAAGGCAATGTTATTACATACGTACATTAGCCATTCCGATTTCAGTCTATCATTTGCCTGTCCACTATAACTTTTCATCCCGTGGTGCGTACCACATTTCAATGCACCGGATCAAGCCTTCATTTATAATAGTAAGCGCTTCCTCACAGGCCTCACTTGTGCATCCAATTCCCCCCGGTTGCTCAATGATATCACTGTGTCTCCTATATTGAAATTACACCGATAGATATATTTATCAACTACCAAATTTGCTCCAAAAACCTTGTTGAACGTTAAGCCCGATTGAATCTGTGCATGTGCCGATGCTTTTGCCCAGGGCCTTTTTTGTGACTAAGCCTATTCGTGAGCAGTGCCAGCAAGATTAATTCGGCCTGACAGCCACTGGGCCATAAGGAGGCAATTCTATTGCTGTTGTCCATATTGACCCATGACAGGCTGAGAGAAAAAGTTAGACGGAACTGGCGTTTTAATCTCTTGGCCGGAAAGTGGATATCCAGTGCCATCTTGGAAGAAAGCAGGATATAGCCATGCTCCCTGTGCATTGTGATATGTGGGACCCATAAAATGCTGACCGAGACCTTGCGGCATATCCTGTAGCAACTGGGGCGCACTAGAAGGAGCCTGTAGCACGTTCTGTTGTGGATTGAAGGTTGGGGTTGGGGATCGTTTCCGACGCTTCTCCAGTTCAACATCAACTTTGAGCTGTTGAAGAACCTCTATAACACGTACATATTCAGCATACCAGAAGTCGAGGCTAGCTTCTTTGGGCGATGGATCAGGCACTTCAGCTCGCGCTTGAAGGGAAGCCCCTGGAGGTAAGGTATTTCCTTCCTCCTGCCACTTCTTCTGTGCCTTAAAGACGTTCTCCTCATACCGCAAAGCCATACGCTTCCAGTACCCATTGTCCATATTCTGGGGAGGTGCATCAACATAAGCATAGTCGTTCTCGTGCAACGGGTAATCTCTTCCGCGGACCGCACCCCTGAACCTCTTTTGTTTCGGAGTTTTTGGTAGCTTTCTGTCTTTTCTCTTCCCAAGAGCCCTCGACGGAGCCCTTGAGGTTGACTGTGGAGGGGGGAGCAGGTGGTCTGCTGACTCCAGCGTTTGACGAGATTTTCTGTGACTCGGGCTCTGAGTTTCAGGGTGTTGATTAGAAGTTGAAGGCCCATCCCTGGCTTCGCTAGTAGGCACAGCAATAGCTCCCATAGACTGATAGTATTCACTAGCATAGGGAGTAGAACTGGGAGTGATATCTGCAAGTGGGAGCCCATCGTATTTACCGGTATGGGCCGCCGGACCTTCGTCTGTCGAGTTTACCGGGGGTGATTTTGCCATATTTTCACTCTCTTGGAACCCGAAAGAAGGATCGGACCAAACTAACCTCCATTCGTTGGGATCCCCTAGAAGGTCAGACATGGACATATTCAGCTCCAAATCGGTGTTTGGATCCTCAAGAGTAACCATGCTCATGCTGAATTACTTTGAGCAGACGTCAAATATATATATTGTTTCTATGCGGACATTAATACCATCCCAACACTTCTGACACAAAGGCTACCAAGATTCTCAAGCTTTGAGGATATCTAGGTAGACCTTGGGGAATAGCTTACAGGTATCAAGAAATCGAGAAACTATAGATATTCAGAGCAGGAAGGTGCTTTTGGAGCTTCCGAGATTTGCAGCGTGAGATCTTGAAGGTAAATGTAGGTATCGAGGGAGTATACAGGGTTGTAAACCTCTTGTGGGTCTGTAAATCGGATGTAGCCATTGGATGCATGGGAGAAGACTTGTACGATTTCTTCAATCATTTATAACTTATTTCGGCAGGAGTGAAGTAGCCCCATGGCCAGGCTGTCCTCTCCAAATTAGAATCCTCAATTACTCAAACTAATTCACTATACCCAAATCCGTGACTAAGGTACCTCAACCGTCTCTCGTCTAGGCCTTGAAAAACAAATAAACAAGAAAAGCTTAGCTCTAGAGTTGATAGCCCAGACATTTGCGTGTGACAAACTCAGTAGAGTTGATAGACGCAAACCTACTTTACCTGTTTAGGAAAATAGAAAACAAAGATGAGTTCTTCTACCTTAGAACTAAACCTAAACATTACTGCAAAAGCCATTTACCTACGTAGGCGAGTGGCAGTGAGGTAACTCTAAGTTCGGGATGTATATGTGGTACTGGTAGAACATTGTATTGCACTAACTAAGTTAGAAGTTATAAATCATCCGCACTGGTGTAACGGCTAGCATACCGAGCTTTCACTCTTCTCCAAAGGGGTGGAAGCTCCTCGGAGACCGGGGTTCGACTCCCCGGTGCGGAATTATATTTTTTGGTTTTCTTTTGCAGGGCTTCAGGCGCTTTGGCCTAGAAAAGATGCTTTGTTTGAGTTTGAGCCGTCGCTACCAACATCCACCGTTACCTGGTTCGGTACTTATGTCTCAGGCAAAACAAGACTATACCAAGTCGAGACATCGAGGGTGGGCACGTGGTCTACCTAGTCTGGTTGGCACAACAACCTTAAAATTTCAATCCGAATTCTTCGATCCGTGCCGGAACAAATCAATAACATTCACCTAAGCCAACAGTATGTGGTTCATTACAGCCTCGTCAGGTGTCTACTTTATAATTTAGGTTCTCAAACATGAGCATCACAAGTCTGGCGTGCACCGCCTCTCGTAGAGAGAGCATGATAGTGGAGTTTTCTCGAAACTCACGCAGGAGTTAGTCATATGGAAACTTCGAATTATGCAATCCCCCCAAAACAAATGTGCTCCAAAAATCAATTGTTAACACAGAAACCATGATATGTGAAGTGTGAACAACTAAATTTGCGGTAACTTATTCGTTGGCCTCCCCCTAGAAGAGCTTACGACCGTGTACAAACCATCTAAGTGGCAAGAGTTAGCATATATTCCATTTCCTTATCCGAGGCTAGGGGACATTCACGCTTGCAAGTAATATTTACCGACATCTCCCTTCTCGTTCGCCTGGGCGAATGACGCTTTGATCTTCTGGCAAAGCACCAGAATTCGTTCCATGCTCCATCCTTGCATATTTAAGTGGTGGCAAGCTGTCCAGAACTCCTTTACGCCCATATCGACCTATGTCCTTGAGACTCTCGTCCTTTGGCCAGTTCCCAACAGGCCAAACTGCGGTCTTCTCAACAACATCGATGAAGCCAGCGTCGATGAGACGCTGCTTGGCAATTGGAGCGGAGTTTATTGTTCGACCGGCCATTATTACAGCTTCGGGCACATGGCGCATATAGGTGGCTAGGGGATGCTCTTCGGTCTCCATGAGCCTCGTACCGTTAGGCAGGAATAATTCGCAACCATAGTCCTGGTCCCAATGTAGGCGCCGGCTTTTAGCTTTCTGGGGAAAAGGTTAGGAAGAGTACATGTCGCAGTTCAGGAGGATATTTAGACATACGCATACGCTTGCTTCAACACCTCTGACCAGTTCGTGAAGGAAGCGCTCATAGAGCGCATGTGGATATAACGTAGTTTATTCTCGTACGTCCACTCTTCTTCCATATCATCGACCTCAAATCTGCAATTTTCTGGGACCGAGCTTGGTTGAATAGGACTAATATCAATACCAATAACGTTCGCTTGTGGGTTCTCACTATTGGAGAAATAAGTACTAAATAAGTACGAACTGGAAGTATTACCTAATGGTCACTTACGCGGCGAAATCCAAGGCCCAATTTCCAGTACCTGTACCAACATCTAGGACCTTCTGGGGGTTGACGAGGGGAGCAGTGTAGAGTTTTCCTCCTAGTAAGGAAAGGAAGATGTGGTGGTACAAGTCAAGTCCATCTTGCTGACTCTCATCATTTGGATCATTTGAGAAATATCTTCGTCCATTGGCGTATGTAAAGTTGAAAATGCTGGAAGTAAGAAGTTAGTCCTGCACCAGGTGGCAGATTGTTTTATAGGATTTGAAATTCACACAATTCATATTCAGGATCACCTCCCCGATTAATATTGTGCAATTCCTACTCCGTAAATCCCTAAGTCTACGGTCGTACTGTATGCTTCAAGAGCCACTCAGGGGAGTGAATAAACATACGTCAACCTCAACTACGGTACTAGCACTACCGTTTTCTAGATGGATGGGACCTTCTTGTACGAACTCAAGTAGCGTTCCTGTTGACATTTTAATATTTGTGTTTGCAATATGGGATCAGGGGCTCGGATCAATCAATATCTCCTATGACAAATCAAATTGGCAACTTCCGGTAGGAGTAGCTGTCCAATCTCGACGTCGTGAAAATGCTTCTGGGGGGGTAAAGACTGGGAGGAAGGATAGAATTATATAACCTTATTTACATGTTATCCAAGGTGCTCATTTTCCATAATAATTATATGCTTTGGCCGCTAGGTAGGTCACACTACCTCATTCATGCATTCGCGATTTTATGTAACACTAATAATTGGATAAGCAACAGAATAAACCCCTAGTCTGGTGATAAACCCTTTATGCCATGTAGTGCGCAAAACTAGGGTGTGTGAAACGTCTACGTAGGTCTAGTTGCACAAGAGGTTCCAGGCAAAGCAGGAAGGAAATCTATGCTGTAATTAGCTATGACTATGTATTGTGCAAAACAAAAAAATGCAAGCTTGAATACACAAGCAACCATGCTACTTCCTCACCACCGTTCCAGCTGAAGAATCCCACGATATGATCACGAAAATCAAAGTTGCTACAGTACCTATTTAGTGCTCTTGAGGTGTTTTACAAGGACGGGATCCAAGCCAGACGGCCCGGCCCTAGCTACAGGAATTTACTAGCCAGTGCTGAGTGTGGGGAGCCCTAACCGCCGCGGCAGTACTACATATGTATCAATGAGTGATTTTGCACATCATTACCATTGAGACGCGACTCGAGTTATTCGGTAGCTCTCACATACATATGCAATGGGAGACATAGTAAGCCATGGCTGACGTGAAACATATCAATTTGAGCGCCAGGATCTATTCAATGGGTACAGGCAAATCTATAGAATCTAGAAGTCATGTAAGATATTTTATAGTGATGTCACAGAAGACCAGGTGGTGGACTCGCTTTACTGGGCCGGGGCGGTGCTGGAACACTCTCTGAGCTCACCTAATGGCTTTGGTTTAGGCCCATACCGAGTTGTAGTTTTGGACCGGCGGAGGAAGTCTGCCTCCAGAAACCGCCTGGATATTTGCAGTTATAGTTAGGGACAGCACTGTTGAGGCTTCCTTGATGGCATTATGGATAATTACAGTACATTTTTCAATCTCCGACGTTCATATGACAATGAGCACGGGCATGTCTTGTGAAATCCTGAAACCGCATACCGTTGAGACTCGAGTTCTATGTATCACCATACATATGCGTGGGACACCTAGATTAGAAGCCATGGCTGACATGAAACATATCAATTGAGCGCGACTGGAGTTCAGTACGAAGAGTAAAAAAAATGGAATCTACAGTAGGTCTTTTGCCGGCTCCTCAGGTAATGCATGAGAGTCATCAATATTGCTACTACATATATACCGTACCAACTTTGAAATTCTTTTCTGCATTTAGTCTGTAGGTAACTCATGACTGATAACTAAAGTGCTACATGTACATTTCCATCTCCGACGTTCACATAACAATGAGCACAGGCATGCCTCATAAAACCCTTAAATCCGTATATGCAGTTCACATTGAAATTATGCTACCGAATAACCCCGAGATCTACGGCGCTGATCTGTTACACCAGCGGGCGCCAGGCAGCCTTGGGACCAATCAGAAATATTCCCCGGCAGCACAACGTACGTGGTGCCAGGAAGGTCAAGCAGGCAGCGAACTCAGCAAGTGTATCTCCCAGGTAGGTGAACTCGCCGGAAAATCAGCGGATTTCATGTGAAGGCATAGCTAATTTTCTACCACCAGGCATTGCTCATGGGAGCCGATAACTATGATATGGACGGATCAAATCATTGAGAGAGCAATTGTGTCGTCTCAGGGACGTGCAGTCTCGATATATCAGCGTTCTGTGGCTAATGGCTAATAGCTATATGGACATCATTAGATCATGGACGGCGACAACCTCATTCTGGACGGCTCAGATCAGGAAACCGCTGAGATTCTGGGAGGCATATCGCAGGGTGGAGTTGTAGTGGGATCCATGATGGATCATGGAATGGTTCGTGTAACTATGGCTCAGCGATGTATATAGAAGCTCAAGCGTACACAGTCCTTGCAATGTATAGTTTATACCTCGGTGCCATTGCCTGGCTGCTATAACCATCATGCTCCCCGTGCGCCCAGTAGAGTGCGTCCAGTCTAATCTCGTTCAAATGTCAATACTTCAACCCTGCTCTGAAGAACTTAAGAAGTATTTGGGAAATAAGTTTTGAAGCAGATTGAGGTATACTTTATTGTCCCGAAACACAAGATGGAGAGCCTTTATTCTGCACGATGGACACTTAGTTGGTGACGGTGACAAGGACACTGATTTACGCAACAATTCGGGGGGCGCACAGAGCATCATGGGGTGCGGTGATATGTTTCGAATGTGGTCTCTGAAGTTTTTAGGACACGTGATGATCTAGTTCCTGTGATGTACCCCAACTGTGTTCACCCTATTCCACTTTCGGAATCCGAATGGCCGACTTTGGGCGACATAAAATTCATTAAGGTCTCTTAAAGCATTTCTATGTTTCAATTTATTTTTCTAGAATAATCTGTATACCTACATAACCATTCCCTCACCAGATTTCCAATATTTGGTAGACTGCTTCTCACAAGATTTGTTTTCTCCTTACTCTTCGCAGTTTGATTCTTGATGTCTATATCCACATGGGTTGGGATGTCCATACGGCATCTTTTACCTCTTATAGGTAAAATTTCGGTACTTAAGGGATACAATGCCCCTATGGAATACGACCTCATCCACCTGGGATAACTGTTATGGACAACGTGCAGCTAGGCCCAGGAAAGCAGTGATCATGCTAGTAGGTTTAGTGCCGTTTAACTACGTAGGAAGACTGCATGGGATACTTTGATGTTGTAGATTCTTCTTCTTTTCCTGGCCTTTCTTTATTTAGGTCAGGGTATTGGAAGACTGGATGCCGTTGACGTTGATTGGAAACAACAACAAAGTTATTGGAGGAAGCTTTTTCGGTGGATCTAGGGACAGTACGATATATAACGACGCAGCGGCTAAACCCGAATATTTATGACCTGAACTAGTATAATGTACGATGAAACACAGGGCATAATATATGAAAATAGGCAGAATCCTATTTTGCCTTATCTATCAAACATTTGAGCATACACAGCAGAAATACTTCAAATAGG